TGTCAAGCTCCCCGTGACGTATTCGATATGCCAAACACAGTAACAACAAAATCTCCAATGAAGACGTTACTGGGCCCGCTCGAGCAAATCGATGAACAACGGGAGGACAGTGACATTGACAGTCTAAAATCATGTTCTTTTAAAATAAATATGCAGTTTTATTTCTGAATGCTAATATTTTGTAGGGTTTTTTTTTTTTTTAAGATTCTTCTTGGGACCAGAGAAATAGTGTAGCAGGTCAGGCATTTGCTTTGCATGTGTCCGACCTGGGTTCAATCCCCAGCATCCCATATAATCCCCCAAGCCTGCCAGGAGTGATCCCTGAGTGTAGAGCCAGGAGTAAGCCTTGAGCACAGCCAGGTACAGCCTCTCACAGACAAACAAATACCAAACTCCCCCCAAACCTTGCCTTGATTCACAAAGCATTTTGGGCTGTTCCCCTCCCTGCCCCTGACCCCCGCCCCTTGGTTCTTCTTTATCATTCTATGGGTTTTCTCAAGTGCTGATTTGGGATTCTCATTTGTGAGGATATTTTATAGATTAAATGGGGAAAGGCTGACAAGGAACTCTAAGCACACGAACAGAACTTGTTGATTAGAAAACTTCAATTTTGGGCAAGTAACCACTGAACTGAGAGGTAGATCATATGAGTAAGAATACACGTGGCTTTATGCTGGTATATCAGTGATTACTTCCAGTTGCCCAAGTTTTCTCTTGAAAGATCTTTTGGTGTCTTTAGAAAAAGTACAGGCAGAAGTGGTATGGATGATGGTTATTTCAGACACTCTGTCTTTTCTCATTCTGGTAACTTCTCTCAGAGCCCAAACCTTTGCAAGTTTCTGGAATATACAGACTCTTCCTAATTCCTGAAATTCCCTCTGAGTCAATACTGGGGTTTTCCTTCTACTCAGTAATCTTCTGCACATGGTATCTTCCAGAATTTCCTGAAATCACTTATCTGCTTATTCTGCTTTTGAAAGTGTACCTATTATATTCCTTTATTATAATTTACTTGAATCCCAGAAGAGAGAAGAAATATGCATGTGTGCTCTAGTCCTCATCTTTGGACCAGTAGCTAGGTATTAATGTTCCCATTATACATTTGGCAACAGAGACTCATCTGATAAAGACGTTCCCAATATCACACAGCTAGAATGGGAAGGGCCAAGATCAAGCTTTTATTCTTTTGACTATGACAAACTACTTTTTGTCCAAATCATGACCTGTTTGTTATGACTTGAAGAAACAAGGCCTTACGTGATGAATTTTAACTACACTATCATTTGGATACAAAAATGTACCAGAAACTCCCCATACCAAAAAGTAAGCAGTATCGTTTTATAGGATACATATCTATGGCAAAATGAGAAACTATCCAAGTCATGTGCCAGTAGTTTTATATTCTTTGGAGAGTGGTAGAGCATAGCACATTGAATACATTCCACTCTATCAACTCCACTACAGAATTGAGGAGCGACTGTCCTGAAGAGGTAGAATAGGTTCTGGAGAAGTGGGGTTAACAGAGGGATCTGGCTGGGAGAGTGAGTAACCTCATCTGCTTGGAAGTCAGTTTCATCTATACTCAAACATATTAAGTGTCTGCTGAATACAGGTACCGTAATAATCTCAAGGCAGCTTCACCTTCACCAAAAAGAGACTTCTAGAAATTGAAATCTTACAATATCTTACAGTGGGAACACATCTAATTTACCCAGTTTAAGGTGCAAACTGTTACACAGAATTGTTCTAGTTGAATCACCAATCTTTTGGCAACTTTTGAATAGCTGATCCTTAATTCAACACTCTTTAGGCTATTCCATGGTGGACTCTGGGGTTAGGACCAGGGGCACAGTGCCGTGCCTATACAAAGTAGACAATAAGTTCTGAATATAGATGAGAGTGTCTTCCAAGAGGATGAGGTGACTTGTCTTCCAATAAGTCCCCTGTATTCATCCACTGCTCCAGAATCTTTACCTCCTCTTTGGGACAGTTTCTCATGACATTTATCCCCTTATCCATCAGAGGCAAGGCTGAAGCATCTATTTTCCTCTTTCTCTGAGGCAGAGGTTCAATTAGCCTCAGTTTGAAAGGTAGAGGTTGACTCTTGGGGGGAGCTACAAAAAATTGTTTAATGGTGAACATAATATATAATGGTATTAGTTTACTTTGCTATGAATTTATATGCTTGATATACTGGAAAAATATAAGTTAAACAGAAAATCCTTCTGTTCATAGTGGTTTTTCCCAGTGTCTACCTCCCTTGCGGCTGCTTTGGTCTCAGTCTGACACTCAGGAAAACTCACTGTGAAATATGGAACACATGAGGAAGGACCCTCTGTTCTCAAAGGTTGGCAAGCAAGCCTGTGAACTTGGAAAGAGAATAAAGCTTTTCCGTATGATAAATAAAGAAAACAGAGCCTTGAAAACTCTGGTTTCCTCTTTTTGCATCAGCACATACCAGAGTGAGACACCACTGAATAATCTTCTCACTGAAAGGCAGATCCTTATTATTAAAGCATTAATGATACGCATTATGAAAGCATTTCTAAAAATATATTTTAATCATCCGTGAAATTTCCACAAATGAAATGAAAAAAAGTGAACTCTTTACATTTAGAATTCCCCACCCCACCCCATCCCACCCCACCCAACCCCTTGTAATTCCACCCTCTTTAATGGTCTCTGAAACCAAGCCAGTTGGCTGATAGCCAGGTAAACTCAAAAAGGAAAAGGGAAAGCAAAGTCTAACCGGCAGGGCGGGCATGGCAACTGGGAGAGGTCATGGTGAAGGAGAAGGAAAGAGCCGCTACTCAAGGGGAAGCAGATAATGCACTGGATTCAAGGACTAAAAGGAAATGGCTGGATTGTAGCACACTCATGCGGCACCTGATGGCAGCTTCCCCAGCCAAGAGCCTGACCTTAGGTTTCTTCAAAAAAAAAATTTAGACACCTTGATTTACTATCTTTAATGATAGGGTGTCATGCCTGCAATGTTTTAACACCACACCCTCCACCAGGGTGCTCCCTCAGCAACCCCACCCTACCCACCCTTGGCTCCCACCATACTAAGCTCAGTTCCACAGGCCAACTCTCAGATTCTATTGACTTTGGGTATTTGTTATTTCCTTACTATGTTTCTTTATATCCCACACATGAGAGATACCATTCTCTCTCATTCTGAATTACTTCACTCAATACTTTCCAGGTCTATCCATGTTACAGCAAATTCCAAGACTTTATCTTTTCTCATATCCAAGTAGTATTCTGTTGTGTATATAGTCCATCACTTCTTTACTCAGCCATCTGTTCTTGGACATTTAGGCTGTGTCAAGATTTTGGCTATTGTGAATTGTATTATAATGAACATAGGGGCACAAATGTCTTTTATGAATAGAGTTTTTGGACCATTGGGAGAATCCAGGAAGTGGAATTGCTGGATCTTACAGAAACTCAATTCTTAGGTTTTTTTGAGAAGCATCCATGTAGTTCGTCCACTGCTGGTGGGAAAGCCGTCTGCTTCAGTCTTTTTTGGGATACAATCTGTACACTTCCTTAGGTCCTTTTGTTTAGCCCTGGCTCCCAAACAAAGCAAACCGTGATACCAACGCTAATATAAGGCTGTGACGCTTCCTTCCTTTGGGAAAAGCCAGTAAAAGCATCTATGTCTTTTTCTAGCAAAAGGGGCCTGCTTTCTCCTGAAATTTCTGTTGGGAGAGAAGACTCACGAGGGTGGTGATGGTAGAATAGTCTGGATTTTTAAAATTTAAGAGTAGATTTAAAAATACAACACAAAATAGTATGGATTTAATAACATATTCTTATTTAGTTCACTCTTTAACAAGAAGGATCTTGTGCTATCCAACTCTGTGGGACTCATTTTTTTTATTTGTAAAATATTGCAGAATTAGAAAAGAAAGGTGATCCTAAATGTCTGGTGACTTTTCTTCCTCTCGCTCCCTCTTTACTGCTTCCTTCCCATTAAAAAAGTTTAAATTCTAAAGTCATAATCCAGTGTTTCTGTTTTCCATATTCCTGAATTTAGTTCACTGAGAAACATGGTAACACCGTCATTAGACACACACACACACACACACACACACACACACACACACACACACACCCTTCAGGGGGAAGGGGCAAGAGCACAGTCAGCACCCTGACTCTGTGTAGCACTGCCAGCACCACCACCCCCTCTACCAGTGGGTGTTTCCTCAGGAGCCAATAATCTTACTCCCCAGACTGTTTATTCTTTGTGCTGAACAATGATGAGTGTATGGACAGGGCCTCACTTGACCTATTAACTGAACAATTGGCTTCTTAGGTTATTTCTCCAAAGTAATATGAACTCCTCTAATTATGCGTCAAGTCTATCAGGCATGTCACTGCATTAAGAAGGAGGAAGATATTGCTCAACTCTGGCCTAAATATCCTGGAGTATCTTATAGTAGCATCGTTTCTAGGGTGCCTGGGACATAACAGTTGCAATCAATCAGCCACCATGAAACCTGTTGGGTACCACCCCTCAGCAGGCACATTCTTAGGCATCTGCTGATGAATCACAATCCGAGTTTGTCAGCAAGTTCACTTGGTTCCAGCTATTAGCACAGAGGAGACTCAGATTCGTGCTTCACGCACAAGGCTGCCAACACGTTTCAAAGCATTTCATACTCACAAGTCACATCTTGTCATTTGGCAGATCCACGGGAGCCCAGGCCCTGTTTCACTTTTTAGATTTTATTGTTCTTATTAGTAAATAAACCAACAGAAACAGGGCAACAAAGGGACATATTCAGAATAACCTCATGAATTAAATCGTATGCACACACACACACACACACACACACACACACACACACATCCTCTTCCTGTGTTATCTCACCACCCCGCCCCTCGCACCACACACACACACATATTCTGTCTGACTGGACAATTACACAAAGGAGTCCACAAAGTCATATGAGCAGAATCCCCAGTGGGGGATGTCCAGACTGATTCTGGGCCTAGATGACCAGTTTCTCCACGCTAAGGGTACTCGTGGTTTCATCCTCTTCATTGGATCCAAAATACCCAGGGAGGTCCAGCATCCTCTGCTCAGACTCGGTCAGTCCAAATGATGTGTTGTCATAGAAGGCGAACTCGGGGTGGGTGGGGAAGCTCTGACGCCTGTCGTTTCGACACTGGGAGGGGCTCAGGGAGCTGATCCCCGGGTAGCTCTCTTTGAGGGTGATGGGGGAAGGCTGCTTCCTTGAGGAACTCCTGTGGCTGAGGGATGGTCCTCTCCGAGCTCGGTGAGTCTCTGTTCTCTCCCCCGCCTCCAAGCCCACCTGGCGGTCCCCCAGATCCTGTTTCCTGCTGGGCTGCCCCGAGGTGTAGGATTTCGGGAGCGGGCTTAGCAGGCCACTGGTGCCACCCATCCCTTGGAGAGCATCTGGTTTCTCAGGAAACGGGATGGCGCCTCGGCTCTGTGGCCTGGCTCTGTCCTCGGCCGGGTCCCAGGTCCATGTTCTGGCACTGTAGGCCGGGGCCTGCTGGGGACTCAGCGTGGACATGCTCCGCTCCCGGTACGGCCGGGCCTGCTTGCTCTCATGGAAGCTGGCCGTCCTCCGGAAATGGGCACTCCGGGAGTGGCTGCGCTCCGACAGGCCCCCTCTGCTGCCCAGCTGTCTGAGCTGGGACTTTCGGATCAGGGTCTGGCTGGGGCTCACGGCACAGCTGGCTGGGGAGACGGCCCCGTCCAGGCGGGAGGGAGGCCTCTCCCCGCCACCCACCCCAGGCGGGTCCAGAAACGGGGACTTGATGCGGAACTTGTTGGCCACAGCTTCTGGGCCTTCCGGCTCTATGGGAGGCGTGTTGGCCGCGTCGATGGCCGTGTCCGTCAGGGGGTTCTGGGACACATGGTACACCTTGGTGGTTTCTGTCAGGCCCTTCTTCTTCATCTCCTTCAACTGCTGTTGGGCCAGGCGGTAGCTGAACAGCGGGGGGATGATCTTCTGGGCACTGGACTGGAAGCTCTCGCTGCCTGACGTGTCGTCCTCAGGAGATGCTGGCCCATTCCGCCGGTAGGTCAGAGGGATGCCCATGTCCTCGGGGCCCCCCGCAGGCCCGTCACCCCCGTCTGAGAAGCTCCCCCGAGGCTCGCTCAGCCCACAGATGTTCTCCTCGTCGGAGTTCTTCCGGAAGCTGGGGGAGTGCAGGGAGTTGTGGCGGGCTGGGGTGCCGCACTTGGGGGCCCGGCCGAACCTCCTCCACAGTGTGATGAGCACGGTGGCCACGATGATGAACAGGCATAGGGAGATGCCGGTAACCGTCACGATGTTGTTGGACTTTCCTGGGACCTCGGGCTGAAGAGGCGTCGGGCTGGAAGGCCGGAACGCTAGACACAGAGAGGGGGACAAGGAAAAACAGATGGGGGTCTCTGGTTCTGTCTACTCTGAGGAAGAGCACAGTACACAGAGGATGGGGACTTCTGGGATTCCTGGGGGCAGCTCAGGCCAGACTAACAAAGAGAGGCTCTGAGTCGGGAGGAATGAGGGCTGTCCTTGTCTGTGACTCTGGGGCCCAGCACATCCACTGAAATGGGTCTCAAATGTGTCTTCACAGTAAGAGCATGAGGAAAATTTCAAGGGAGGAAAAAAAATCAGTTTTTTTTGTACCTCTGAGATATCTGGGCATCTGTTGCCAAATAAACCTTTGAGACACACCGTGGGACATTCTTCATAAGGATCAGTCTTGAGAGGCCATGATATTTTAGAGGGGGTTGTCCTCAATCTGCACATCTCAGGAAGAATTCAAGGGTGAAAGGAGACATCTGAAAATTCTGAATTCCACTCTAGCATCCAGAACACCATCACAACCGTCACTGTCCGCCCAGCTCAACTGTCCAGGCCGCTCCTTGGCCCTGCCTTCCTCCCTCCCTGCCCTCAAGGCTGCTTGCACTTACCTAGCTTCATCCGCCTCCGGAGCCTGTACCGCCTGTACTGCCACAGAAATGCCTAGTCTGAGGTCGCCTAATGCCACTCCAAATCTTACTCCTTTCTTCCCTGAGCCCCCGCACTCAGGCATTTCTGGTCCTGGCCAGCAGTGTGTCACCTCCTTCCCCTTCCCCCTTCCCCTACCCCTCTCCTTTCTTCTCTGCCCTGAGGCTCCTCCACGCAGAGAGCTGCCCCCCCCCCCCCCCCACCAAAACACCTCTTGCACGTCCTGGCTTTATCCAAGGGCCAGGAGGGTGCCATGACACAGCCTTGACCAGCAAATGGGGCCAGCAACAGGATTTTATTTAGCTTCTTCAGTCCTGACAGCCACTTGCCCTTTGTTCTTTGGCCACCATATAAAAACTCTTTTCTTCTCTTGTCCCTGGGCTGGAGCGATGATAGCAAAGTGGGTAGGGCGTTTGCCTTGCACACAGCCAACATGGCCGACCCGAGTTCGATTCCTCTGCCCCTCTTGGAGAGCCCGGCAAGCTACCGAGAGTATCTCGCTCGGGCAGCAAAGCCTGGCAAACTACCCATGATGTATTCGATATGCCAAACACAGTAACAAGTCTCACAATGTTACTGGGCCCGCTCAAGCAAATCGATGAACAACGGGAGGACCGTGACCATGACCCCGTCTTCTCTTGTCCCTGGCACCCACCCAGACTGCCCCTACTCTCCACCCCTACTCTGTGGCAGCCACTGGTCACCAGGGCGCAGGTCCCAGCTTCCCTCACACCGAGTAACCTCCATGTCCACTCACCGTGCCAGCTCCCCTGGTCTGCGCCTGCTCCTGTTCCTGCTGCAGTCACATGCTGTCACCACCTGCAGGCTGCGTCCTCCCCTCGCCCATGTGCTTTAGGCCCTCACTGACCCTCTGGTTACACTGCAGCTTCTCCCAGCCTTGCAGATCCCATGCCCACCGCCACAACCACCTTCCCTCCGGTCATCTGAACTCTCCTGACCTTTTCTTTCTTTCTTTCTCTTTCTTTCTTTCTTCATTTCTTTCTTTCCTTCCTTCCTTCCTTCCTTCCTTCCTTCCTTCCTTCCTTCCTTCCTTTCTTTTTTTGCTTTTTGGGTTATACCTGGTGATGCTAAGGGGTTACTCTTGGCTCTGCACTCCTGCACTCAGGAATCACTCCTGGCGGTGCTCAAGAGACCATACGCGATGCTGGGAATCGAACCCAGGTCGGCTGCATACAAGGCAAACGCCCTACCCACTATGCTATCGCTTTAGCCCTCTCTCCTGACCTTTGATGCTGAGCTTTAACTCTGGCATCACCCAGCAAAATGCCAACCTAGACAGGTGAAGTCTAAGATGCTAGCACCTGGGCCCTGAAAACCAGCAAAGAAAATCACACACCCATGTAGGCCAGCATGGGGATTCCCCAAGCTGCCCCCACACACCCTCCCGGGGGTTTCTCTTTCCCCTAATACTATTTCCCAGTGCCTCTCTTTCCTCACACAGCCAGCTTTCTACACCACAGACACAGCAGCCATGCTCTATTTGCCTCTTCCTCTATGCTGCTAGCAAGAAAAAGTCCTCCTAGGAAAGACTGTCTTGGCCCAGTGCTCTGTTGGCCATCCTTCCCCAAACGACTGTCTACCAACACCAGATTTCTCCATCTTGGAGCGATAGCACAGCGGGTAGGGTGTTTGCCTTGCACACGGCTGACACGGGTTCGATTCCTCCGCCCCTCTTGGAGAGTCTGGCAAGCTGCTGAGAGTATCCTGCCCACAAGGCAAAGCTTTGCAAGCTCCCCATGATGTATTCGATATGCCAAAAACAGTAACAAGTCTCACAATTTGTTGTGAGACATTACTGGTGCCCTCTTGAGCAAATCAATGAACAGTGCTCCTCTACACAGATTCTTAACCTCATCTGGGAAATTTGCTTGAGCTCATCTTGCTTTAAAGAGGCCTTTCTCCACATACCTCAAGAAATTTGTATTCTCTGAAATCATTTATAGCCCCAGGGCTTCATAAATGTTGCAGTTAGATTGAGTGACAAAATATGAATGGATGGATGGATAGATAGATAGACAGATATTATAACTAAGTTAATAGGAAAAATTTGGGGAATTTTTATATGCTCAACCATTTATTATCTGCTCAAATTCAAATACTACGTCTACCATCATTTACAGATTCATTTAAATGAGGACTGGCTTTTTGTTTTTTTCTGATAAAATGTCATTAATATGGATTTCAATTTTGACACATATCTGTAGCAATTTAAGAGGTCTAAACTGAGGGGTTGGAGAGATAATACAGCAAGTAAGGTGCTTGTCTTGCAAGCGACTGACCAAGTTTAATCCCTGGTATCTCATATGGTCCCCTGAACCCTATGAGGAATGATCCCTGAGCACTGCCAAGTGTGAACCCCTCCCCACCCCTACAAACAGCTCTGATCAATCTAAGCCAAAAGAGCTGTCACTTCAGTTTTACTATCTTTCTTCACAAAAAGTAATTTTCTAATCAGCTCGTCTCTATTACTTTTTAATGCTTTGAAAGTTTACTCAAGTCACTAAGTATTTTCAAGTGATCCGCTTTACTGTTTTCCTGACTCTAAATTTCTTAATTCCAAGAATTAAGATTTCCTTGAATGGTGGTTTTGGCAATAAATTATTTTCTTGGGAAAAAAAATAAAATAAAGAGGCCTTTCTAGTACTGGAGAGATAGTACAGTGGGTAGGGTACTTGTGTTGCACATGGCCTCACCTGGTTCAATCCCCAGCCCTGAGCACAGAATCAGGAGTAAGTCCTCAGCACCACAAGGTGTGGCCCCCAAACACAACTGAGACCTTTCTGGAACCTTCTCCCCACTGCCATAGCCTGATCTTTCTCCTGTGTGGATCTCGTGATGGGCACTGGAGCAGGTAAGACCCGACCTTGCAAAGTGGCCCAGAAGCGAAGCCTCGCAAGAGGGAGAACCTGGGCAAAGTTGGCAAGAACAGGGTGTTAGCAGTGGGTGTTCGGCCTTGAGCCTCACTCAACCTCCTACTCACATGCGCCAAAGACACAGAAATTGTCAAGTACACTCAGCAGGTCATCCCACCTGCAACATCTAACCTTGATTGGGATTGGACCAGGGCAAAGCAGAGAAGAAAAGCTGATGGGCCAATAATGCTAAACTTCATGTGATTGGACCTTCTTGTAAGCCAAGACCCTCTATAAAATATGTGTGTATTTGGCAATAAAGTGAACAGCTATCAGCTGCTCCCGGAGGGTGTTTCTCTGCATGCCCGTCATCCTTTGCCCCACGTCTGCCCAGACCCGGTGTGCAATGTGTCCGGGCACGTTGGAGAAAAACTGTTCCCCAACACTTCTAGAACTCCCACCTATGTTACTGAAAGTTCATCCACATAGGCTGACATACTGCATCCACAATGATGACCTGCAGCTTTGGCCACTGAGACCCCATGAAATGGTTCCTGGTGGGTCATTAAGGAGCTAAGAACCCAACTGAAAGGGAGTTTGTCCTTTTCTTCCAATCTGTCGAACTCACTCGGAGAGAACATAAACTCAGGAATGAGCAGATCCAGACCCCACCTGACCCCACCAGCCTCGCTGTTGCCAACCACAACACACTCTCATGTCCACACCCCAACTCCATGCCCAAACTCCTCCTCCTCCTCTCCTGGGACCTCCCACACACACAACCTGAAGGAACAGGCTCTGAATCTGGTTCTATCCCGAGACCTCTCTCCTTCTCTCCCACTTGCCACATCAGGAACCTTTAAATCCATCTCTCTTATGCAGCTGCATGGCTGAACGTCATTATTCACTGGGATGGGTGAAAACCTCTTATCAGGCCCAGCTATATCCATGTCAACCCCTTCTGACCTATGTACTCCCATGTTACGGGAGAGAGGAGGGGAGAGGAGAAGGGAGGAGGGAGGGGAGGATGGGGACGGGAGAGAGGAGAAGGGAGAGGAAAGAGGGGGGGGGCAGGCCTGCCATAGAGTCAGACTCTGTACACTGCTGCAGTCTCTGTGCTCAGTGGGGATCGAAACAGGGTCTGCTACAAGTCAGGCAAGCACCCTACCCTGTACCTCTCCAGCCCAACATGTTGTTGTTGTTTTAATTGGGCCACCATTAAAAGAAAATGTGCTCATCTGTGCTCAGGGACAATCCAAGGCCTTGAACATACCAGGCAAGTGATCGATCACGAGACAATCCCCCTGCTCAGGACCCTTAAAGATACATATTCATATGATTTATTTAGACATTTTGCACCTACTTGGGCCTGATTAAAAAAATACAGTTTTGATTAGACCATTTGCTGGATTTTCTATATTTTCTCATAGATCCAAAGAAGGAGAAGCCACCAAAAAAAAAAAAGTATTCTGGGGAAAAATGATCACCCTTTCCATTTAAAAAAAGAAAAACTAATAAAGGGTTTCCAAAAACAATAATAAAACTAAGAAAATGTTTTCTGTGCCTCAATCTTTCATTTAGATAGATTTCCTGGCATTTCCCTATTTTCCACAATGCTGAATCCCTGTCTTTTCACCTGCAAGCTATCCTGAGCTGCAGAGCCAGACCCTCTGGCCAGGTGTGTGTGTGTGTGTGTGTGTGTGTGTGTGTGTGTGTGTGTGTGTGTGTGTGTGTGTGTGCACGCTGGGGAAGAAGGGGACAGCAGGGAAGGGTGTCAGGGGGCTGGGGGGGTTCCCTACAGGTTTCTTGTTCAGCAACCCCTCTGAAGAGGTGACACCCTGGAAGAGGAAGAACCTACCAGCGCAGTCCTCCAGGGAGCACAGTGATGTCTCGGAGGCCACTCCGGGGCAGCCAGACCTGGACAGGGAGGAGGTGAGACACACGCGGTGGCGCTCCCGTGCTCCGTCTCCGCATGTGGCACTGCACGGGCTCCAGGGCTGCCACAGCCCCCACGTCTCTGCAAGGACACCGGCCAGGCTGTTAGCGCCATCTGAGGATCAGCTGCACCCACAGCTCTGTCAAACCACACTCAAAGCGCAGGCCCAGGAAAGTCAGTAATGAGAAGGGCTGGAAAGATATTGCTGGGGTTAAGGATCTCACCTGGCATGCATCCCAGTTTGACTTGATGCCCGGCACCTTATGGTCCTGTATGCACAACCAGGGGTCACTTCAAGGTATAGAGCCAATAATGGCCCCTGAGCACTGCTCGGTGTGACCCCCAGGTCCCTACCTCACCCAAAACAAAAATACAAAAACCCTGAGACACCCCCAGGTGATAGGTTGGGAGTTTCTGCATGTGGACGCCCTGGGTTCCCCCAATCTTGTTTTCCCTCCCTCCCAGCACCACATGGAGTAGCCTCCCCAGCAACGGTAACAAAAAAAATCCCCCAAGATATAGAAAGCTGGAAGGAAGGAATGTTGCACAACCCTTAAAACAAAGAAAGGCTGCAGAATTTGCAAAGCATGAACCATTCTGAGCACTCCAAGGTCTGGGGTCAGGGCCAGCATGGACCCGGAACATCAAGAAACACAGGCTCCCGGGGTTCTGGGGGCAACTAAAACCTCATGGGAAGGGGGGCGTTCCGGTCTGTCCTTCACGCCCTACCGAGGTCACCAGTTGCCCCCCACGAGGGGCTCTCCGGCACGGCCACAACTCCAGAGCACAGAAACCAATCTCTTAATTATCTGACTTTCAGTAGAAATACTTCCAGGGTTAATAAGTAAAATAGCGGAAATCTAAAACCAACATTTAATTCTTGAACCCAGCTGTAGAAAGCAAATCATTTCACAATGCTTTTTCAGCATATCTGATTTGGTGGGGGGGGGGGGGGGACTCTAAATAATAGTGGTGAATCTTTTATTGAAACAATGAATCTAATCAAAGCAGATAGAGTGTTAACTAGAATTCATCTGCCTCGCAGGCATTGGGAGGGGTGGAGGGTGGGGTTTTATTGGGGTTCTTCGTGGTAAAAAATAAGTACTGGTAAAGGGAAATGTGTTTGATATTTGCATGACTGAGACCTAAACCTGAAAGCTTTGTAACTTTTCCCACAGTGGTTCAATAAATAAATAAATTTAAAAAAAATTAATAAGGTAAAAAGAAAAAAACACAGGCTCCTTTAGGATGTGCGGGATGTAGGCGCCGCTCCCCTGGCACTATGCCAGGCCTCAGGGGGTGAGAATTCTTCTCAGTAGGCGAGGAGCTGCCCAGAGGCCTAGTGAGGGCAACATGAAAATACAGAAGCCCAAGGAGCCACACAGGAGTGAGTGGAGTTTCTCCCTTTGTGCAGGCTCCCCTACGAGGACTCCACTGCAGACTCAGAGGATGGCGGCAGACACAGGCCAGAGGTGGAGGAGGGAAGGAACCACAGTTTCCACGAAGTTCGCCCACTTCGGCTCCTTACCCGCTAGGGACACAAGGGTCTGGGTCACAGGACTCAAGGGAGCAGGCTCTGGTGGGGGGTCACTGCTGCTACGAATGAGGATGGGAAAGCCATTAATGCCTGGGGTGAAGCAGTAAGTTCTACCACTGGACCAGGATATCAAGAAATCCTATCCCTGAGATTCAGGGAATATGACCCTTGATTAAGACTGAAGTTGAACCGGAAGAAAAGCATGTTCTCCCAGCCTGCTCCCATGCACCATGTTGGCAAGAATTAAGTTTCAGGGGCTGGAGTGATAGCACAGCGAATAGGGTGTTTGCCTTGCACACGGCCGACCTGGGTTCAATTCCCAGCATCCCATATGGTCCCCCAAGCACCGCCAGGAGTAATTCCTGAGTGCAAAGCCAGGAGCATCCCCTATGCATCGCTGGTATGACCCCCCCAAAAAAAATCAAGTTTCAAAAGACAGGAGCAGGTGACTGAGAGAGAGGAGAGTGTTGGCTGTGGCAGCAAACCCTCTCCATACGCACGCTCCAGCCTAGAACTCAGGCAGCGTCTGCAGTGGGAGCTAAAGCTTTTGGCAAACTGGCTCCTGCCTGAAGCACAAAGCAACACTGGGAAACTCAAGTCTGCCATTCACTGAGGGCACCATAGCAACAGCAAAATCCCAAACACAGCTCCATTCCTCACCACGCTGACCCAGTCTCATGCTGGTGTTCTAGCCAAAACAGGGTAAATCCATTTCCAGGCATAAGTGGAATCTCCAGTTCTAAGTTCATCACTCAACCAAAATTTATGAGATACACAAAAAGTGAGATAGAAAAAAGATGCTAGCAAGAGAGAAAGTGACCAACGGAACCAGATTCAGATGTGATGACCATGTAACAATAATTACATAATAATAATATAATAATAGTAATAAAATATTAGTGAGGGAATGGAAAGCTCCCATGATTGAGAGGTTAAAGATAGTAGTGGAAAAGATGAACAAACACCTGAAGGGATGGAAAATCTCATCAGAAAGTTGTAAAATAAAAGAAGGCAAATAAGTGCTAGAAGTGAACAAATATAAACAATATCTTTTGAGGCTCAACAGGAAACTCCAAACAATTAAGGAAAGGAAACAGAGACTCTGAAGACCAAAAGAATTGACCCAAACGGGGCTGGGAGAGACAGTACAGTGGGCAGGGCATTTGCCTTGCACAAGGCTAACCCGGATTCAATCCCTGCTACCACATATAGTATCTTGAACCTACCAGGAGTAATTCCTGAGCACAGAGCCAGGAGTAAGACTTGAACATAGCTGAATGTGGTAAAAAAAATTAAGTTTGTTTTTTTTTAAAAAAAAGGACAAGAATTCATCTGAACTAAACTATAAGAGTATGAAATAAAGAGGAAAATAGAACATTCAAGATTGGTATGGCAGCACTGTAAGTATAAAACAATCACTTCAACAAATTTTAAACTATGATAACTCAGCTGAAAAATAAACAGAATAGACAAGAGCTGTGGGACAACATCATACAGTTTCACATATGTAATTTTAATTACGAAAGAGAAAAGGGAAAAAGAACATAGTCCAAGAATGATTCAAAATCAATTAAAGACCTCAAACCACACCTGAGATGCTCAGAAAACACAAAGAAGGGGAACACAAACAAAACAGTTACATTATATTTGAAGTGGTAAAAATAAAATGAGAATGAAAACTGTGAAGTCTGTGGGGAAAGAGAGGGCGAGGTGAAACCCGTCACACCCAGAAGAGAAGGTGAGGATGATGGGAACTTCCATGCAAGCTAGGTCCAAGAATAATGGCTCTGAAGAGATGTTTTTCACCCCTTTTCTGACTGCAGCCCCCTTCCAATCTCTCTCCTTCCTATAGACTCCCTGTCCTACCCTTGGCCCCCAAGTATTATGCCACAGACACCCACTTAAGTGATTTTCACCTGTAGCCCCTTGAAATATCCTGGGAGCCATGTGGACCCCAGTTGTGAAGTGCTGATATAAAGCACTAGAAGAGAAGTGGTCAACCCCCAGAATCTCATTTCCAGAGAGCATATCTATCACAAATAGACGGTTTTAAATAAATGAGACAAAGAGAATGAATCCAAGATGACCTTTGCTGTAAGAAATGTTCAAGGAAAACCCTGTGGGGATGGCAGTAAAGTTCCAGGGTAGCATGATTTGCATATGTGTGACCCTGGGTTTGATCCCTAACATCTGCTCCCCCGTGTCCTTCTATAAGAAGTCATGTACTACCAGACAAAACCTCTATCTATATAGAGACATGACTAGTGCTAACATGGACTAATAAAGGTACAATAAAATTCATTTTTATTTTTAAAATCTCTAAAATATCATGTATTATGTGTTTCTAGCATATATAAAGTCAAACATATACTAAATCACAAAAAATGAATTGGGACCATACTATTAGAAGGTCTTTATACCATACAGGAAGTAATATATTATTATCTGAAGATAGATCAAGAGTAATTAAAGATATTCAAGACAACTGCTAAAATCACTTTAGGATATGAATAAGAAAATAGAATTGTAATTAAAGTAAATCATAAAGATAGTAATTATTCTAAAGGCAGAAAAGAGAAAAAAGGAACAAAGAACAGATGGAAGAAATATAAACTACCAAGATGGTAGGTCCTAATCAACTATATAATGATTACACTAAATATAAGTAAACACACCAATAAAGACTAGTATATTAGATTTCAAAAAGCTTGGCTCAACTAACTTCTGTTTAAAAGAAATGTCCTTTAACTATAAAAACATAATAGATTAAAAATAACATTGGGATCATTAAGCAAAAGAAAACTGGAATGACTGTTAATGTCATACCAAAAAAACTGCAGAATTTGTAATATAATCAGAGATCAAGAAAGACATTATGTCAACCATTTAACTTCTTGGTTATCTATCCCCAAGACACAAAAAATTTTTGTACAAAAGGACACATGCCTACTATTATTCATTGTAACACTTAGCACGATAGCTAAGATAATGAGTCAATCCAGTTATCCAACAACAGATAAATGGATAATGAAGTTGTGGTGCATATACACTATTGGAATACTATACAGCTGCAAGGAATGATGAAATCAGGTGATTCACTGCAACTTGAAAGTGGAGTATATCATTTCAGTAATGTCAGAAGGAAGACAAATACCATCTGATCTCACTTATCACAGAACAAGAGACTGCAAGGAATCAAAGTAGGGGTACCAAGCTTACTCTGGAGCCTTGATTCTGAAAAGGAAAAGGACAGAGAAGGGGAAAAATCAAGGGGGCAAGCAAGAAGAGGTAGATGGGCAACAATTGGTGCAGTGTCTGAGGCCCCGAGCACACCGGTGCCACAGAGGCATATGTATCTGTCTACACCATGGAACCAACAGCACTGCCGGAGGAGACCCAAACTGCAATTACTGAACTTGAAAAATGTGCCTACCAAGGAGGAAAGTGGGAAGTGGGGTGGGGAGGGAACCCGGACACACTGATGGAGGGATGCTGGCTTTGAGAGCTGAATCAGTATGGGAACACTGAATACATGAAACTCTAT